GGGGTCCGGCGGCCGCCTCCCCCGAGACCCCGTGCGGGCGGGATGCTCCACTTTGCAACGTTCGCGTTCCCCTGTGCTTTCAGAACTGGAACTGAACACCAAATGCGTGGTGGAGATGGAAGGGAATCAAACGGTCCTGCACCCTCCTCCTTCCAACACCAAACAGGGAGAAAGGTAATGCGGGCGCGGAGAGGGCGGGAGGAGGATCTGACCCCGCAGTCTGCAAGTTTGAGCCAGGAAAATGGGAGTGCTCTCTTCTATTGTTAGGAGGACAGCTTCAAGTTTGTTGAACGCTCCTGTCTGAAGCTGTTGCAAGTCCAAGTTCCTCTCTTCCCCCTGCGCCCCCCTCTCACGTCCCCTCCGGTATAGCGCGGCATCGGGCTGGGCACCTTGGCCAGAGATTAGCACTAGTCAGTTGTGTCCCTGGTCGGCCTCTAGGCACCCAGACGGAGAGGGGCTGGATGGGACCCTAGAGGTGATTAGTCCAATGGCCACATTTTACAGATAAGAAAACGGAGGCCTGAGTGGGCAAGTGACCACCGCAAGGCCTTGTTCTCTGTGGAACCCAGTGCCTCAGATTTTTTTCTACCACTGCAGTGTTTGCTTCGTTTGGCAGGCTTGTTTAGGGAGTTTGTGTGTAAAGTGAAGGGAGACCCCACAATAAAGCAAAAATAGTTTTGTACGATGTAGGTTCGGGCCTGGACCATTTAAAATCTTTTTTGTTGTTGTCGGTGGTGGTGGTGCTGGGTTGAGATAATGCCTGAATGTATTGCGGGAATTTTGATTTTCAAGGAAACAAAAAGTAGTGTCCGAACTGTGTAAACACTGGGGGGATGTACAAAAGGGGGTTGCATTTACTAGATGGCAACAATTTGCATTTGAAAAGTAGTAACTGTTGGATCCTTATTAATTCTGCTCTTCCACGCAGCAGTATGGGAAAATGCCCTAAAATAATTTGAATATTTGGCATTTTTCTAGTAAGCCCATGAAGAAAAAAAAAAAATGGAATTCGTTCAATATAGCAGTGTTGTAGCTTGTAAAAATAGGAAAGAAAAAACGGGATATTTGTCAAAATTAATTTCTCTGGGACATGAGTATGAGTTTGTGTTTCTGAAAGTCAGTCACCTGTTGATTGATGCACTACAATTTAGTGATTTTTGCTCTCAAGAGATTTCCACTGGAAACTCTGAGGTAGGATTTGTTACTTTATTGCTAAAAGAAGCAACTGCCTCCGTTCTATAATCATGTGGCCGGTTCAGGCACAGTTTTGCCAAATTTTGGAGAAGAAATTATAGTTAGATAAGATTGGGGAATTTTTGCTTTTCATGGTGACAGTAGCATTTCTATTCAATTTGCAAACATTTTGGTACTTAGAGCAAATTTTTATGGTGATGGTAAATAGCTAAGTTGTATTTAAAATGTTGTGTTAAATACTTTTCAATAATGGATGTATCCTTGGATAATATTTTTAGATACATTTTAAATATTTATAGTATTTTAGATACATTTATAGCAGTGCAATTGTATATTTCATGGTGATAGTAAGTAAACTATTTTACTTTACTAATTAGATCACCAACTCCTTCCCCCTACCCCAACTGGATATTTTTATATTGTGTCAGAAAAAAAATTCTGCTGGGTCAGATTCTTCACAGCAGTCTGGAAAACAGGTAGAATATTCTAACTCCTGTTATGTAGCTGCTGCTTTTGTTTTCCTTGCTGATTTGACACCTGCTCCTTGTCACTCTTAACCATGAGGAAAGCTACTTTTAGCTACTATTTAATGAAATGAAGCTTTGTCATTTGCGGAGAGAAACATTTAATTTTGTGGAATTTGTATATAAATTATAATTGTAGACAGTTTGCTAGACATACTAAATAATCAGCAGTTACTAATCAGGATCTTTTAACTAAAGATGTGTAGGATGATTTGGGAATTTATCCATCTGGTTGTATATTGGAATAGCCTCTTCTTTGAAACTACAAGAATAGCATTGAAAAATGGGTATTCTCTTGTTCTGTCCTCTTGACAGATCTGGTTCTTTGAGTGGTAGATGAGCCCTTTCTATAGGGTTCTGCCTGGGTACCCATCATTTAGTTTATAGACTGAGAAGGGTCAACACAACAGTGCTGCTCGTAGGTTAGCATTGCAAGGATGGAGACACCAAATGCATTTTAATTTTCATTATGCAGCTTGGTTTCATATTTCTCTACCAGGTTTTCCCTTAAAGCAGCAGTGCATTTAAAAATAGAAACAATTCCTCCCTTGGGTTCTGGGTTGATTAATTGTGACAGAACTTCATGTTATGTTTGCAATTCATTTCTATCATTTGTTTTGAGATAGAGCTCAGGAAAAGGCAAGAATATTATTTTTCTTACCCAGAAGTCCAAGGTTTGAAGTATAAGAAGTCCTTAAATTAATATTGGCAAACCTACATCAAATTGAGAAATACTTTTTTTTCTGAAAATTACGGAAATTGTTAATGTGTTAACCATGAATAGAAATTTTAAGTTACTGGGTGAAAGTTTTCAGTCCTATCAGTAAAAACAAGTGAGAGTGCATTTATTTCCAGGAAAAGAAATAGACAGGCTTAGCTTTCATAATTTTCCCCTTTTATAAAATCAAAGCCAAGACGACATGGTGAGGATTAAAAGATCACAGGGCTTCTGAGGTTAAAGATGTTTGTTTTGGTCCTGAAATTTTAAGATTATAATACACTGCAGAAGTCCAGATTAATAGTTGACTTGTATACCATCACTGTTCTGCAACATTAAGACATATATGAATTTGTTTCTTAAAATACCATTGCATTATTATGCAGGAGACATATATGACCTTTAGATCAGGCGAGAACCATAGGTGGCACAGAAGATCCAAAGATAACTATAGGCCCAGTAGCTATGGGTCTGTGCCAGAGGCTCTTACCTTTGAGGGATGTGGGAAGAGGGAGGAAAAAATAGTTAAAGTAGAATGTGGTAGATTGTGTAGACTATACTTTTCCCTTTACATGTACCATATTATTTGGAAATTACTTGCTTCCTCTCTGTCTCCTCTTTGAGGCTGTTACCTCCCTGAAGGCAGGTATCTTGTCCTGCTTACCTTTGTGTCCCATGTCCCTGAGCATCACCTGGCTCAAAGCAGGCACTCAGCAAATGTCTGTAGTGTTTAGGTTTCCAGTGTGATGGAGCATTGAGGAGGGGCTGTGGAAATGACCCAGGGTCCAGGAAACCTGCAAAGAAAGGTAACATTTGTGCTGGTCATGTGGGTGCTAAGAGTGTAAGTTCACTTTTGCAAGAGTAGGAGAAAGACCTTTTTGTCAAAGAAAGTGAAAGCATACCTGCCGCAAATTATTTCTGGGTGATTGTGTGTGTGTGTGGTGTGTGCATGCATGGGCATGCATGCACAGGTGCACATACCAACAGGATGTGGAGTAGGATGCAGAAGCAAGGCAATTTAGGAGGGGCAAATAGAATGAGATTTCCTAATTTGCCAAAATGGGCAATAGTTAAAAAAAATCAGAGTATAAACAAATTTATGGTGAAAAATCTTTCTCTCACCCCTGCTGTTACCCCCCCTATTCCTTCCCCATTTCCTCACCTCTCCAAAAAAAGGTAACCATGGTCATTCATTGCTCATGCATATTTTCATATACATACACTTATATATTGTTTATGTATATTTCAACAAATATTTCTTCTATCTGTAAATACCAGTATGTTAAGACTTATTCGTTCTCTTTTTACATCCAGTATGGATGGTAGTGGTGGTTTTAAAAATATAGACAGGTGGCTTATAAATCTGATCTTTAAAACTTTTGAGAAGCAAAGCTTTACACTAAAGAGAGGATAATGGAACGTGCTTTCTACAAAAGTTTTTGTTCTTGATTATTTTTATGGAAGTGAATTGTAGGGTAAGCATCCAAAAAAATGTGCATATATAACCTGGCTCAGTTAAAAGAAAAATTAGGCTAAATTTGGACTTTTAGTAAGATAGCATCAAAATTTTAACCTCTTGCCCATATTTTCCATACTTCAAGGTGTCCAACACACTTTGTAAAGTGTATGAGGAAGGTCAGCAGAAGAAACCTCTGTCTTGGTTATATTTTCTAGTTTATGCATATATATTTTCTAGTTTATGCATTATATGTCACAAGATTTTGTTTCCAAACTGTTTTTCTCTGTCATTCCAGAATGACAGGTCTTTCTGCTCAAGTGTCTCTGTACACCAGAAATTTAAATATCAGTGAAAGTCATACAAAATTTAAAAAATCACCCAAGAAGCATAATATTCCACATTATAAAATTATTTGGATGACTTTGAATTCTTTTTATGTTTTGTTATTCTTTGGCTCAAATATTACAGAGTTGATTATAAGAAAGCAAAACGTATTTAGGTTTCACTATTATAGGAGTGAACATTCTTCATGCATGATATTAATGGGAATTGAAAGAGCATTATGATGGAGTATTTTTATTAGTTGTCAACATCTTTGTTTTAAAATAAAGGTAGGTTGAAATCTCTTAAAAACAAGACTAAAAAATAATTATAATGCAGTCTAGAGTAATGATTTTGAAGTTATTTTGTTCATAGTCCACAGTTAAAAATTATTTTACATTATGAACTCTGTGTGTATGTATATGTTTGAAGGTTCATGAAAAAATGTACTATGTGTATGTCTATTATTTTCTATCCCTTTCTGTTCTAATTCATTTTAGAAATGATAGTTGTGACTTACTGATTTAATTTCACAGCCCACTAATAGGTCACAAATGTATAATTTGAAAAATGCAAGTTTAGTGGATAAGAGATTGGATTCTGGATATATATGTGTGGGTGTGTGTGTGTAAATATATAAAGTAGTTCTATAATTTATAAAGGCTATGATAAAAAAATAATCTTCTTCATTTCTTTCCCCAGAGGCAACCACGTATAGCAATTTTAGCTCATTCTTTTGGAATTTCCCTCCATATTTCTGAGTAACGTGGTAGTGCTAGTTTTTGATTTATTCTCTTTGTTCTCTTTCTGGGCCCTATCCCCACTCCACCCCCAAATTCTTCCCATTCTCCATTTTCCCAGTATAGTTATATAGTAATTTTACATTGCTTATATGACTATATAGAACACTGTTTACATTGAGCCATGTACTCTTCTATGATTTCTTTTCCTATCATAG